GGCCCTCTGACCACCACCAGTAGGCAACGGGTGAAGAGTTGTCCGAGCCGGGGCTCGAACCGGCAACCTTCTGATTACAAGACGAACTGCCAACTCTTGAGCCACGATCGCCCTTAAATTAAACAAACAAAAAGACAAACAAACAAAAAGAAAACAATTACCTAATAGACCTATCAAGTGGACACTATATGTGCTGCCTCCTGCGCACAGATTGTTCCTACACCTAAACCACAGAGTATTTCAAGCAGTGCGTGTGAAATGGACATCAAGACAAAATAACTGATGAAAACACCCGGACACTTTCTAAATTGTCCAAAATTCTTATGCGAAAATTACCCCAGACTAGTAAAAATGCTGGAGACAACATTTGTGAAATAAGGCCACTACCATTAGTCCAAGTAGCTGATGTCTGCCTAGTACTTGTATTCCTGCACAGTTCTCCTTCCATGTACACCTGTCTGGCTTCCAGTCATTCAAAATTCTCCTGCTTATCTACATGCCAAGAACAGGGCAGCTCCTTCCTACCTCCAAGTCACGGTCAAATATCCCTTGGGTCATCCCATCACTCAAGAAAACCACAGGGTCATTTACGACTCTTCTCTGTTCTGGCTCCACAGAGATGGAATGAGCTCTCACTGAAGTCGGGATAGTAAAAGTGATTCCCCAAGGCTAAAATCTCACCTTTTCATTTTATCAGTGTGAGAGCGCAAATGTCTAGACATGTCAGATCAGACATTAAATGGACTTTAACCTGCCAGCTTCCTGGTAGAAAGTCAGAGTAATATCAGAATGAGCCCTTGTGTAACTAACACGCGTAGTTTTCTACAAGTTCCTACCTCCTGCGTGCTCTACCCATAATGTGTGTCAGCAAGTTTAGATTTCACCACTTGTGTATGTTTCTGAATGAGAATGACTCTAAACTGAGTGCTGCTAGCTGCAAGCTAAAAAGTGGGTGAAGTTCAACAAATGGATACCAAAAAATTAAAAACTGAGAAGTGTTTCCTTATGAGTGACAATTGAAATAAATAAATAAATAAATACATTATAAAAGCTCTGCACTATGGCTCAGGTTTAAAAAAAACAACAACCTGATGAGAAGAATCCTGATTAGAAATCGTCTGAAGAACACTCAATTGCTAAAGTTGGTGGCTGTTCCACCTCTGTCCTCCTTACCCAAGAGGACCCTTTTAGCTGTTCCACACACTGTAAGTGATTTATGGTGACTTAGTGACCAGAGACAAAGAAACTGAATAACATTTACGACTTCAGACTACAGAGAAAAGAACTACAATTGCAAGTACGAAGTGGGTTAACCCGCAATAAACTTTGATGCAAGGAACTGAAGAGATTACTAATGAGAGTGAAGAACACAGTTGATTAACATATGACCTACTAGTAACTCATCTCGAACGGTGGACTCATCTCGGACGGGGATGAGTCTGCCTACAGGAGGGAGGTTGAACGT